CACCGCCTCACCGCCACCGCCACCGAACCAGTGACCCCGACGTCTCGCTCTGATTCATTAAATGTTTTGTGTGACGAGAGAAGTGTGAGTTTTCTCTGTGAAAAAAGGAGGTTTGGTGAAGGTGTGATGACTTTGAACTCTAAACTCAGCCCGTGAGACAGAAACTGTTAGCGTGCTCGGTCGCCGGGCGGAACTACGGTGGCCCGCGAGTGCAAATATTTCGAAGGAAAAAATAAAACGCAGCAACGTTTTATACAAGTGACATTTCGTAAAACATTTCACTAAAACAACAACAATATAGCTGACAATTAATAAAAGGTCATCACAATACTCGTTTTGTATAAATGTTTCACAAAACACTAAAAACAACAAAAAAACGAAACAAATTGACATTAGATGACACACGTTAATTAAAAAAAAAAATCCTAAATCACAAAAAAAGACTTTTTATCTCACAGTTTTCTTGCTGAATGTTGTAACAATGTGGCCCTCAATGCAGCAGAGACGTCTCTTTGTTCAAGGTGAAACTCTTAAACGTGACGTCCAGCAATAGAGAAGCTACACAAACGCTTCGTTTTTTTCGGTGTTTTTTGGGGGATTCACTTGTTGCAGCCGTGGTGATTTATCTGCAGATTGTGACCTCATTGGCTCATTACGTCTCATCCCGTCACCTCAATTGACAATTTTCTTCAGACATTCATGTTCCCCAGAGGATGAATCCCTCTGATTTAGGCGATCGTCCTGCGATTGACGGTTGTGTATTTGAGGGAATTATCTCAACACCGATTGGACGGATTCTGATGTGTCCAATAATTCAAATACCACGACCGCAACAGCTGCTGAAGGAATGACGTTCAGACTCAGCTGAACTTTGTGTTTAGTGCTAATTACCAAATGTTATCATGCTGACCTGAGCGTGCTGAACATCCCACCTGCTCAACATCTGCAGGATAGCGCTGTCATTGTTAGCACGTTAGCACGCTGAAGAAAGCCTTCAGCAGAGAGCTGCCGACTGTTTAATGAGCAGCTCATCTACAGAGAAGAGTTTAGTATAGATCGGGGTGTTTATCTGGATAAAAAGATTCAGTACATCCTCTTCCGATTAAAGCACTTTATTAAACTCATAATCTCAAGAAAGACAAAACACTTTCTAAAAAAACCTCATCTGCTCAAAGCTCCACGAGTTTGTCGTCTCACATCGCTCCACGTCTGTCGCGTTTCAGTTAATTCCAGATCTTCCAGAGGACGAAGTCGATCCCGTTTCATTCACGAGGATCACTAATTGGAAATGCAATCAATACGAGCCGTAGGTGACGTAGGACAACAACCCAAAGGACGTCAGATCGTATGTTTAGGCTGTTGTGTTGGTTTGGTGGTTAACAGTTATGACTGAGGGGTTTTTAAAGGAGGCCCATTTCTTCGTGTTTTTTGCGTGTTTCTCTGAGGTTTTTCTGGCATGTGGCCGTGTGTTTGGATCACGTCTGATCTCCATTGAGCTTCCTCTTCCTTCACTTGTTCCCCCAACGCTGAACTCCTGATGCACTTTAAGTCGATTGAAGAGGGGGGGGGGGGGTCTTTGTACGGATGCAAAACACAGATGCAATAAGTGAAATGTGAGAGGTCACAACAAAGACGAGATTTTAAATAGATGAAAAACGTTATTTCATGTCATTCGAGCGGAGTGGCCGATAGGAAACAAGCTACCTGTAAACCGTCTCTGTTTTCAAAGCCGTTGTTCCACGTAAACGTCTTAGAAGGACGTTTTGGGTGTTTTTGCGACCAGCACCAAGGTTGACGACGTTGAAATTATATTCTAAAAAACGACCTCCTCTTTGGGTGTTTTGCATCTACTGGAGTGGAATACCAGAAAGAACTAAATGAACAGTTTGTTTAAGTCTAGTTTCAAAAACCTCCGTCCATTGGCTTGATTTCATTGGTTTAACTGTCTTTGGCTCTAATCACCATCTAAATGGTGTCTGCACACTTTTAAACAAAGACAGTGGAACAAAACGAAACGCCGAAGAACAGTGATTTATTTTGAAGGGCATCGGCCTTGAGACGACTTTTACCTTCGTGCTCTTCTACTCTCCATTACGTCCCCGAAGCCGCACACTTTGAGTCGGCGCTTGTTTCATCCCGAGAGAACGAGGCTTTCGCTAAAAGATCTAAAACCATTTGTGAAGTGCTGTGAATCCCCGTCTGACGTCCGTCCGCCGCTAACGCCGCGCCCCAGGGCGGCCATTTTGTCCAGTGAAACGGTTTCTTTCTCGATGTGTTCAAGGGCTACATTGTTACGTAAATATGCACCGCCGGCCGTTTCGTTGAGCTCGGGGCGGGTGCGGGGGGGGCGTCTCCGTTCGCTCGTCCGTCCGCGCCGAGGTTCATCCGAGACGACCTCGCTTTGCTTTCATGCTGCTTAAACGCCGACTCGGGGGGCGTCCCGCCTGTTTGTTTTTTTTATCTTTATATTTAGCGTAGCGTTAAAGTACAACCACTTGTAAGAATGTATGAAGTGGACCAGCTGCTAACTTTATTTTGCACGCCCTGCGAAATGATCCGCCCCGCCGTACAGGATTGTCACTGGCAAAATGTCGCCGCTCTGTCCCCCGCGGTGAGTCAGAGGCCCCCGGGCGGGGCAGAGCGGCGCCGAAGCGGAGAAGAGAATAAAAGACGCCGCGCAGCATCAGCGGCGAGGCTGTCGCCCCTCTTTGCATGACATCTACTGTTTGTACCACACGCACCTCTGACTGTAAAACACTGTACTGTATTTACAACAAAAACACAGTGAATATACAACTTCTGACTGAAAAACACCGTCTGTGATTTCTTTTGTAAATAACTGCCCCTGCGAGTGGGCGGGATGCTCGCGGGTCAGAAAGGAGGACGAGATGCAGATGGAGCCTTTAACATTCACGTCATGTTTTGCGGGTCAGTTGAGGCGGTGATGATGCTTTTAAAACCTCTTCACATTTGGTTGAATGAGTCGACAGTTCTGGGTGGATGAGATGTTTTTTATTTCTCATTTCTGCTGTAGCATTTGATTCAACGACTTCCTCTAGCAGTCGGCAAAGCTATTAAATTGATTTGTTCTGAGCTTAAAAGAGTTTGTCAGGTTAATGGGCCCTTTGCAGATGTTTAACTGGGTTATTTCATTTGTTATGGGCTTAAGGAATGATGGTCAAAACAATGGAATGAAGACCCATGAGCGCTAAAAACCATTATGTTTGTGCACGTTTTAAAATGACTCCAATTAATCATTCGATGATGCTCAGTGTTTGAACAAATGAAAGTATGGCCGGCCTCCCAAAACAAAGCAGTCCGATGTGTTTTGTTGGACAAACTGCTTCTCCACGCGATGATCAAACTGAAAACACCCATTTTCGTTTGGCTTCAGTTGATTTCAGCAAGTAAACATTTAACTGTAAAGGAGTTTAAAGCTTCACTTCAGCAACTTACCTCAAAACTAGATGAGTGCGTATTTAGAACTGTCAAAAGTCTCGAGTCAAACATTTTCACCGTCTGCCACAAAGAATATTTACCTCATGAATCACAATAAAATAAATATACATGAAAAAAAAAAAACTTTATTACGCTCCTTCACCTTTCTATTGCACATTTGATGTTAGTGCTGATCGTGATGGAATAACAGGGTTAAGATGTACGGATATGAATGTCTGCAGAGAGAACAAGCTGCACTGTGTCTTCAGAAAGGAACTTAAGTCTCCATGTTTGTTTCGTTCAGTCACGTCAGTTTGAACCTCCTGAAACACTTTATTCTCAAAGCAACATCCACATATTGTTAAGAATTCCCTTTCAGTCGGACATTGGTCGTTTCCCTCCGAGGAGATGAAGGAGACGTCTGCGTTTCCCGCACGGAGGTCCAGGACGTGTTTAGCTTAGCTTAGCTTAGCACAAAGGCAGGAAGCTCAGCTAGCTCAGCTAACACATTCACGTGCGTCCAAGGTTTTAGTCCAAGGAGCCGTCTGGACTGTGAGTTCAGCACTTACGTAACGCTGTGTTCAGCCTCTAGCCACAGCGTGCCCAGACCTCCTGGCTAAGCTAGGCTAGGCTAGGCTAAGCTAAGCTAAGCACGTCGCGCGCCTACCGGTGCACCCGCTCAGCCTGCTTGTTCAGCACAGCTGTCACGTGACTCCCGAGGAGAACAAACAGCTTCTTGTAAAATGTCGAAACGCTTTCTCAAAAGGTTTTTGCAATAACGGCCGAGTTTACGTTCAGTTCGGTCTTAAAAGTCCGTCAGTCTCGCTCGCTTGTAAAATACACGTACGCGTTTCTTTTTCACTTGATGATTGTACAGTACTGCTTGTATAATTTACAGGTAAAGCATGTATTTTAAACTTTTTGTAAATCCAAACAATAAATGTACATATATACAGAAATGTAGAAAGTAATTAGGTTTGCAGTTAATCTCTAATAGCATGATAGATAGCGGGGTTGAGTATGTACGCACAGGCTGTATGTTAAATCTTTATGAAGGGAAACACTTGAAAATCACCTGACATCAGACTGCGTGCTGTCTAAGGATAAACTCTGCAATGCATTTTTTTGTGCCTTTTATATCAATGTATGTAATCTAGACAATCTTGAAAAGCTTGTGTACAACCAAAATGACATTAAAATGGTTTTGGGGGCAAATACATCAGTTTGTCCCGATCGTCTTTGTTACCGGTTAGATGAACACGTCACTCCACCGCAACAGAACCAGGAAGCGTGTCAAGAACCAACCAAACGCATTCTAGATCGGTCAAGAAAGGCTGGAGGCAACACATATTTAGTGGTGGATCTTAAGGTCATTTACATTGATATAAATGAATCTGTATTTAAACTTGACCTTGACTATTCCTGCATTTTGCCGTCTTCTTTTTTCTTTACATTTTTTGCTGCTTGGGGCCTTTTGTTCATCGGTGTGAGTGATATCTGATACATGAGCTTCATCTGTTTCAGTTGTAATAATAAAGCTTGTTTTCTATGTTTTTTTTCAGGCGTTGTCGCCCACGGAGCAGACCAACCTGTCGCCGCCTTCGCCGGACTACCGTACAAAGGGCCAGAGCGACGAGAAGGAGCACTTCCACATCCTCCCCCAGCTGCAGGTCAAGAGGGCCGACTTCCTCGCCGTCATGCTCACCGGTACCCTTCCTCAGCGCCGGAGCTTCGCCGCGGCCGACGAGGAGGTGCAAGAGGCTCCGGGGCCGCGGGACGACGACGTCACGAAGAGCGAGTCCAACAGCGAGGCCAGTCAGAAGAGCACCGAGCGCAGCCAGGACGCCGCGCCCTCCACGCTGATGGCCGAGGACCAGCGGGGCCAGAGGGAGCACGCCTCGGCCGCCGACGCGGACCCCGACCTGGAGGACGCCTCCAAAACCCTCGTCCTCTTCTCGCCGGGAGACACTCGGAAGTCGCCCTCCGGCTGCGATCACGCCCTGGAGGCGGAGCTGGCCACGCCGTGCGCTCTGGGTTCCCGCGGCGACCGCCACCTCCTGGTGGGCGAGGCCGCCCCGCCGGAACCGCCCGACGCCGGCCGCTCGTCCCCGGCTCTCCGGTCGGACCTGAGGCCGTCCACCCCCATCGCCCCCGCGTCGCCGCCCTTCACCAAGGTCGAGCGCACCTTCATCCACATCGCAGAGACGTCGCACCTCAACGTCATGTCGTCCAACGGTCACTCTGCCCGGGAGAACGACACCTCGAAGGCGTCGGCCGCAGAGGACGACGCCCGCGAGCACGTGGCGGCGGCGGCGGCGGAGACGCGAGAGCCCCCGGAGGAGTCCGTTCTGGAACAAACCAGACCGGTCGGCGAACGCCTCGAGACCGAGGACGTCCCGTCGCCCGCTCTGGTCCGGTCGTCTGAGCCCGTCCCGGCAGCCGCGTCGCCGGTTCTCCAACCCACAGATCCGTCGCAGGAGCCCGAGAAACCGCCATCGCCCGAGAAACCGCCATCGCCCGGGGAAGAAGCCGCCCAGCTTCAATTCCCCGGATCGGAACCACCGGCCTCCACGAAACCACCCCGGATCCGAAGCCGAATCCCAGTGCTGATCTCGGAGGAGGAGTCGGGCTCGGAGCGGTCCTCCTCCCTCTCGGCCCGGGTTCGGCTCCAGCAGCGGGCCAGGCAGCTGGACTTGGCGCGCGTGCTGGTCCAGAAGCAGCAGGGCCGCTGGATGAGGAGGAGGATGCTCTCCGGGACGTCCTCGTCCATGTCCTCCGGGGACGACGAGCGTCGGAGGGCTTCTGAAACTCTGTCCACCGCCGGCTCCGAGGAGGACACGCACACCTTGGACGAGTCCCGCAGGGGCACCCGTCTCAAACCGACTGAAGAGCAGGGCTCCAAGGAGTGCCGGAGCAGGATCCCCAGGCCCGTCACCCCCATCAAGAGGCCGCCGGCCGTGCTCGCCGCCGCGGCTCCTTCCCCGCTCTCCTTGCCGGACTCCAGCACTTCCAAAGGAGCGTCCTCCTTCGCCAACGGGTACGACTGCGTTCCTCCTGTCTTGTTTTCGTAAGTTGATTCAATGTTTCTGCAGAATTTCAAGCAAATAACACCTCAGATTGTGCCTCTTGTCCACAGGAATCAGAAGATAGGACAGAACACTGTCAGCACTCAACGGAAATCCAAACCCGGCGCCCCCAGGTCCTCCTCCTCGTTCGCCCGTCCATCCGCCGGCCCGTCCGGCAGCCCTCGGATGCCCCTGCGGGTCCTGTTTGGCACCCGGCGCAGCCTTAGCTCCAATCACTGCAGGACTGACAGCCCCTCCCCTCAGAGAGCGTGTCCGTCCAGGCAGCCGCTCTCGGTGCGAACCCCGACCGTCCCGGTGCTACCGCCCAGGACTACGACCGCCATGCGGCGCAGCGCCTCGCAGGAAGCCACCGCCCAGACCTCCTCCGGCACGCCGCCCGCCAGGACCAGGCCCAGAGCGCCCGGGGCGGCCAAGGGGAAGCCGCACGCCAAGGAGAAGGTGGCGCCCGCTAGATAATACAAAGAGACTCGGGAGCCGAGACGTGTTTGTGTATAATCAGTAATCAGTCTTCGGACACGCTACGCCTCAAAGGTTCTCACCTGATTCCCCGTTAGACTGTGACTGTAGACAGTCACCTCCTTCCATTAAGTTAATCAACACGGACCACGTTTGTTTGTTCTTTTGTGTGCCAAGGACAGCTTGCCGAACTATCTTCATGGGCTTCCAGTAATCTAGAATGACCGTCGTACAAGGGCGTCGCTGCCCAGGTGCTGCGGATCGTCTGCTGCGCCCTCGTCGAACCCCGATTCAACGTCTTTCTGGAGCTGCGATATCGTGGCCTCTAACAAGTCCGGCTTCAGAACGCCTCACCTTCCACATTACTCCCAGCTCGTCCACATCTATACTCCTCCTCTAGTGACAGTACCCTGCTTGGTTGCATGGTGAAGTATATCACATATACGTCGAATCCCTAAAGAGAAAAAAAAAAAGATTTGCATAAATCTGTACCTTTAAATGATTTGATATTGTTCTCCTGCTCCTATTGGGGTGAACAGGCGAAAAAAGGACCAAATTGGGCTGGTTTGAATGGCCGAATAATGCTAATATGATAATGGATTCCTAACTATATCCTGTACTTACTATAGTCTTGAATTGAAAGAAAAGTTGGATGTGAACACAAAATAAATCGCTCTGCTGCTCCTCCTCTTCCTCCTCATGGTGTGACAACGGGCATGCTTCAATCATTCGATTTTCTGGGTGTTTTTATTTTCCTTATGCTCAGAATTGTATATAATAGAATCATTTGCCATAAAGACATCTTTATTTTTTATCTTGCCAAGCAAAGTGTAAAGTCTTTAACCTTCAACCTGTTCTGATGTGTTGGCACTCTGCCTGTTTCCTACGCATGAGAAAAACAGGGTCAACCGTGAGAGGGAGTCGTACCTGCTTGGATTCTGCTGACGGTGCGTAAGGTGTGATGGTCGTCGGAGCCCGTGTTGTGTTTGTTGGGGGTTGATGGGCACTGAGCTGTGAAGTAAAGTCTTGGTCGTGTGTGTGAGCATCTTGTCTTTCTTTTCTCACTAAAACCAGCGACCTGATCTGGATCCACAGAATCCAGATCTGGTCCAACTCGAGTGCAAACACAAAAGTAGCCAAACCAAAGTAGGTTCAAATTAACATAGAATATGAATTAGCTAATAAATTGCGTTATATTGTTTTACGCTAATCCACCCAGCAGTACATAAAGTAGCTGAAATTTGCCCCAACCAGGTGAAAAATAATATCAATATCAAAGAGTAATCCATCAATAATTATTATTTTTTCAATTTTCCATTATGTGTTTTTAGTGCTCTTGTATTTTTGATGCAAATACATCTTTTACTTAATTAAAATGTTAAATGCAGACGCAGAACACCGTTTTTTTACATTGACTCCATGCAGGTATTATATAAAGTCACCATTGTGTTGTCAAGTTGTCTGCCCGCCACATTGTGGCTCCGGAGTAGGAAATAATATTACAGCATTTGTATATTTCTGACCGTCACTGTAAACTAAACACACATCAGTCTAACGAAACAGAATAACATATTATCACGATCATCATCAGTGGAAGCAGCAGTTCTGTGTGTAGTTCTTCCGGACGTCCACCAGGTGGCGGTGATGACTCCGGAAACTACAACGTCACAGCGGAAATGACGCAGTTCAAAGATGGCGGCGCAGGTGGATTTGTGTTGTTTGGAAACTTTCCCCTCGTATCTGAGTCCTCTGGACGTTCTGATTCTCCAAACGCAACTGGACTCGGTTTTCCGGAATGACACCGACCCCCCGACCGTCCTCTTCACCCCGCACGGGCCTCCGGGCTCCGGCACGCCGGGCATACTACTGCGCGTCCACCCGACCACCGAGGAGGAGATCGCGGACCGGGAAGCGGGAGACTCCCTCGGAACCGGGTCCGCCGGCCGGGTCCGGGTGTTCACCAGCCGCTTCTTCCTGCGGCACCACGGACTCCCCGGCGGGGGCGCGGGGACCGTCCGGGCTCTGGAGCCGCTCCCCCTGCGGAGACTGGTGCTGGGAGCCCGCAGCAGGCAGAGCCTCCACTGGGCCGCGGCCGAGCACTTCACCGCCGGGCTGCTGGAGCTCTGCCGCCCGGGACAGTGGCTGCTGGCCCGGCAGGGAGACCCGCTGCTGCTGCCCCGACACCCGCTGCTGGGAGAGGACCCGGGACAGGTGAGACAAAAGGACACAAGCAACATTTAAAACTGTACTGCGCTGGATTAGTTTCCTATTAGTTCTGTGAATATGTTACATTATATTACGTCACCAGTGGATGTCACGGCATCCGAAATAAAACGTAGAAACTGTACTTTAATCAACAAGCTAGAGACACTATTACATGTTTGCTCTAAAACATTGTTGTGTAACTTTAAAAGTGTACATGATTGGTGTCAAGTCGTGCATGAAGTTCCCCCTTGAGATCCGCTGCTTTGACGCCTCCTCCTCGCGTGCAGGTGGAGCAGCAGCTGATGGAGCTGCTGGTGTTGGAGTGCAGTCCTGTAACGCAGGGACGGATCACCCCCGACACCGCTCTGGTCCTGACGGACTGCTTGGAGCCCGCGGACCCCCCGGCGGCCCCCCCGGCCTGCAGGCCGCTCGCGCTGTGCGTGTCGGACTTCGCCCACTACGCCGACGGTCTCGGCGGGGGCCGTTCCCTCCTCGACAACAGGAAGCTGTTGGGCTCGGGCCTCTGTGGCTTCCTGCAGGCGCTGGAGTGCAGGGTGGACGTGCGGGTGGTGGACGCCCGGCGGTGGCTCGGGGTCAAAGGTCGGCAGGGGGCCCCCGCGGACCCGGACTCCTGCGTGTTTGTGAGCAAACAGCTGCTGCTGCGGCTGGGGCTGTTCAACCAGGAGTGGGTGACGCTGTCGAGGCCGGGCGGGTCCCCCAGAGCCCCCGCGGGTCACGGCGACGCCCCCACCGGAGGCGGCGGACAGCGGCTGGTCTCCGTGCTGGTCGTGGATCTGGCGCAGAGTCCGGAGCTGCAGCATCACGGCGAAGTCGGCTTCATATCCGCCACCCTGTGGTTCAACATGACGGAGGGCGACGTGGTGCCCGTGGGCGGCTGCACGCTGAGGATGAAGGTGCTCCGACGCGCACACACACACTTTTATTATGATTCCGTAAACTTTGATGGATGAAAAAGTGCAGAATAGCCTCGTGGTCTTTCCCCCGCCCCCCGGTGACCCGTCGCGTCCCTTGTCTCAGAGGTGGAGGCCGCCCGGCCCCCGGCGCTCCGACAGCTACAGCCGCTCTCCTTCGCCGGCGTTCGCCAGCGAGCTTCACATCCAGCCGCTCGCGTCTCCGCTGTACAACCACCTCGGCTGCTGCGACGAGCTGCTGTCGGAACACTTCCGCGCGCCCAGGTCGGCTCACGTGGTCGCAGACCAGGACGTCTGTAGAACGCCGCGCTGACGCCGTGTGGTAATGTGAATGTCTGTATGCTGCTCTCGGTGCAGACTGGTTTCACAGGGAGACGTCCTGGCCGTTCCAGCTGAAAAGCACCCGGACCTGCTGGAGAACAACGGCGAGGGGATACACCGGTACGTCACACCCGTCCACCAACGCGTCACGGGAAATGTCTTATTTCATAGGACGCTTTTAATCTGTTTACTTTTCCCTGTAATAAATACACTAAATGATGTTTGACCTTTTGCCAGGTGTCCAGTGCTGTTCTTCAGAGTGCAGAAGGTTTGTCCGTCGCCGGACGGAGGAGAAGGAGGAGGAGCTCACCTGGCTGACAGACTGCACACTTCACTCTACATGGTGACTATTGACCTCTGACCTTCATCAGAGTGCGTATCCCTGGCAGCTGACTTCCTGTGTGTGCCCAGCAAGCGTCGACCAGCAGCGCCGTCCCCTGCCTCTCTGTGGACGGTTCGTCTCTGTGGAGCAGCTTGTCTCCGCCGGGCCTCGTCAAGACGGTGGAGGTCCTCAGCAGCATCATCCTCCCACACCTGCAGCACAGGTAACGTGCCTGTGGCGGGGGCGGGGGGCAAGCGGGATGGGGCGTGTGGTCATGTGATCCGTGACGCCGGTGTTCTGTGTGCTCGTAGCAGCTCCTTGTCGGGCTGCACCGTCCTCCTGCACGGCCCGGCCGGAAGCGGCAAAGCGACGGCGGTCAGCGCGGCGAGTCGCAGGCTCAACCTCCACCTGCTGAAGGTGGACTGCGTGAGCGCGTGCGCCGACACCCACGCCGCCTCGGAGGCGCGGCTGAGCGCGGCGTTCCAGCGGGCCGAGGCGCTGCGTCCGTGCGTCCTGCTGCTCCGCAACCTGCAGCTCCTCCTCAGGCCTCGAGGCGACGCCAGGGAGGACGGCAGGGTCCAGGCCGCGCTCTGCCGGCTGCTCCACGGCGCCCCCGCCAGGTCGCGCCCCCGCGCCTCGCGGCCTCGTGCTTTACAGGGCGGAGAAAGCCAGAGAGGAACAACTAACGCGGCGTTTCTCCTTCAGTGTGGCGGTGGTGGCGACGACCCGCAGACCCCGGGGACTGTCTGCCGGCGCCGTGGCGGCGTTTATCCACCAGGTGGCGCTGGAGAGCCCCACCGAGGAGCAGCGGCGCTCCATGCTGGTCAGCCTGAGCCGAGACCTTCACCTGGGGAGGGACGTGGACCTGGAGAGGCTCTCCAAGCTCACCGCGGTAGGTCACGATAACATCGCGTTCTGATTCCATCACCATCAGCTCATTTACAACACCGTTAATACACATTTTAGGATAATTGAAGTGCTTTAAAATGAATCTCTTCCTCCTCAGGGGTTTGTTTTGGGGGACCTGAGTGCTCTGCTAGCGGAGGCCGGTCGAGCTGCCTGCAGGAGGCTGATTCACACTTGGTGAGATTACAGGATGAGAATGATAATAATAGAATAAAAGTCTCCAATGTGCATTATCCTGCTTTTTGCCGGTGGGAATCTTGTGCACGTGTACAGACTGAGAATTGAGTGACCGGTCACAGTGTGTATCACTGTCCTACAGTGTGTATCAGTGTCCGGCTGTGTGTGTGTGTGTGTGTTTTGTGCAGCGGCGGGCGGCAGGAGGAGGATCTGTGCGCCAGCGGGGTGACGCTCCTGAACCAGGACCTCCGCTCCGCCCTGAAGACCCTGCAGGAGGCCCAGTCTGCCGCCATCGGAGCCCCCAAGGTGAAGACTCTGCCGCCTCCTACAGGCGTTCTGCCCTCTAGTGGCCATAAAGAATCACTGCATCTTGAAAAAACGAAATACTTCAGTAAAGCGCTCAAACTAGTTTACTTATAAAAGGACCAATTATAAAGACTTTTTAGACATTTTATTATTCTTTATGTATAATTACTATTCATGGTTTGCAGCAAAATCTGCAGCAAAATTTTTTTATATATTAAACCTTTTTTGTGTTAAATGTGCTTTTATTACTTGACTTCTTTCTTCACGACCCTTGAATAAAGGCAATGAACGTAACTAATTTAAGTGTGTGTGTGTGTGTGTGTGTGTGCAGATCCCTGATGTGCGCTGGGAGGACGTCGGCGGTCTGCAGCAGGTGAAGAAGGAGATCCTGGACACAGTTCAGCTCCCCCTGCAGCGTCCCGAGCTCCTCTCTCTGGGACTGAGCCGGACCGGCGTGCTGCTCTACGGGCCGCCGGGGACCGGGAAGACTCTGCTGGCCAAAGCCGTGGCCACCGAGTGCTCCATGACCTTCCTCAGGTAGGAGCACCTCCTCCTCCCTCGGGCAGGAGCATGCAGGTGTCTGTGATGCACGTTTCGTCCCGCGTGACCTTCTGCCCGTTTGTGTGTTTTCAGCGTCAAAGGTCCCGAGCTCATCAACATGTACGTGGGTCAGAGCGAAGAGAACATCAGAGAAGGTCCGTCTCCTTCTAGGGAATCATTCTGGTGTTTTTCAATGTCTGCTCATCATGTTGATGTGTGTGTGTGTGTTGTGTTCAGTGTTCAGCAGAGCGCGCTCAGCGGCTCCGTGCGTCGTCTTCTTCGATGAGCTGGACTCTCTGGCTCCCAGCAGGGGGCGCAGTGGAGACTCCGGAGGGGTGATGGACAGGTGTGTGTGTGTGCTTTAGGATCCCCGCTACATCGATGGAGATGTTTTTTTGTATGAATCCAACGCTTTTGTTTCAGCATGACGAGAAACAAACCATGTGACCTTTCATTTTGCTGCTTTGCGTTTGCTTAAATTCGGTCTTATTCGATTTCCTCTTGGTTTCATTTCTCGATCAATAAAGTTTGATTTGAATCCGTCCGCTCAGAGTCGTGTCTCAGCTGCTCGCCGAGCTCGACGCTTTGCAGTCGGCCGTCGGCGTCTTTGTGATCGGAGCCACGAACCGGCCGGACCTGCTCGACCAATCGCTGCTGAGGCCTGGCAGGTCAGCACGCACACACACACACACACACGGACACACACACACACACACGGTATCCCTGCTCTCGATCTACACGTTTAATGACTCGAGGGGAAAAGTCTCTCCTGAAGTAAAATAAAAATGAGATTTTACTTTTCATGCACGTTCCCATGAACCTCAGAATAATGTTTCAAAGTAAAAGTCTAACCGGCTCGTTTGTCTTCAGGTTCGATAAACTGGTTTACGTCGGAATCAACGAGGACCGAGCGTCTCAGCTGCAGGTTCTCCAGGCCGTCCTCAGAAAGTGAGAAAACGCCGCCTGGCGGAATGAAGTACAAAAAAAAAAAGTGTCACGATTACACATCTGGACCCGCAGCAGAGTGACGATGGGGAAGCTGCTCCCCAGATGTTTTGCAGCTGCTCAGAGTGTGTAATCGTGCTCACCAGATGCTCTGTGTTCCTGCAGCTCATCACTTCAGGACGTTTTGAGTGTTTGTCTGCAAAACAAACCATGTGTTCAGGTTCCAGGTGGACTCGGCGGTGGACCTGCAGCAGGTGGTGGATCGCTGCCCCGACCACATGACCGGCGCCGACCTGTACGCCCTCTGTTCAGACGCCATGACGGCCGCCATCAAGAGGAAGATCGTCCTCATCGAGGACGGTAGGAAGACGCGTCCTCTGAGAGCTGACGAGGTTCTCGAGTATTTAGCGGGCGGGTGTACAGGAAGTCACTTAGGGGAGGAGCTAAATCCTTTAAAATGGTTACAAATCAGGCGGAAATTCTTGACGCGTGTCTCTCTCTCAGGTCTGGACTCGGAGGACACTCCCGTCCTCGTCTCCGTGGAGGATTTCTCTTCAGCGTTGGAGAACTTCAAGCCGTCCGTTTCGCACAAAGAGCTGCTGAGATACAAAAACATTCAACACAAACTCACCGCCAAGTAGAAACTGATGATGAAGCAGGAGGTTTAACGAAAATGACCAGTGTAAAGTATGTAAATGATGTAAACAAGAAGCTATTTTATCTAATTTGTGAAATGTAATTTATGAATACAGATGTTAATGCTGACTCATGTTTTTAATTCCGCTTACAGACATTTAGAGAAAGCTTCCAGGTGTGAAGAAGCATCAGAATGTTACGATTTAAAGAAAAACTCTGAAGACTTAAAATTTGCATGCAGATTTTTATCATTTGTCATAAACAGAAGCATTTTCTTTTACGTCAAAAAGTTCCACTAAATCCAAGTGGGCAGAGCAAGAAGAAGCTGCGAATCAAACACATCCGTAAATGCTGATTGTGTCACTGCAGGTCACAGAAATATAATAAGATGAAACTTCAGAAGACAAAATCCGTTCATTTTCTGTAAATTGAGATTTTTCAAATCTGTTTTAGAAAAACGTGAAATTGATGTAGATACTAATACAACACACGAGTAGTTTAGTTGTCATTTACTCCAAAGCGTTACAGAACCAAACGGTTATCAACCATCTACTTCTTTCACATATATTCATCCATCATGTGTCCTAATTCCAGGACCTGCTGATTCAAGCTCATTTAAATACATCATTATTATTTAAATAAATAAGAACATTGAGTCCTAAACAAACAAGAAGTAAAGTAATTCAAGTCCAAGCTGTTGCTACGACAACAAAATGAGACGGGAGGCTCAACCGGGTCAAAATAACGTGTTTCCATTTTATTTCAACCATGAAATACTTCAGATGAATCAGATTTTAAGCGCACGTTAGGCCGCCGTTCTGCAGTGCAAATCTCTCCCCAGTTAACTAACTAATGATATTTGCGTTTGGGGCCTTCGGCCCACAAAAAGCTCAGCGGAACATCAGCGAACGGAGGATCTCGGCTCGGTGCCTCTGCTGCCGAGTCGACGCTCGTGACAAATACAGCAATAAAATGAAGTCCTTCACGTCTACTGAACAGTGACGAGCGTCTTCCTGTCAAGCTGTTCGACGGCGGGTGGAACGATGACACGCAGCCGCAGTCGGCGTCTAATCAGCGGCTGGTTTGGACTCTTGGGTGAACACGAAGCTGTCGGGGTCTCGGCTTGGACCACGCGGGGAAAGTCGCTCTTCGCCTGGGAGCGACGCACGAGTCTGCGCGGTTCCGACGATGGATGATGGAAGCAGGCGGGGGGGGGTCGTAATCCGGATTAATCTGGAGGTCTCAATCTCTGTGGTCGGCCCCCCGGCTTCCGTCTGCTTTGCGGCTCCTGGGTTTGAGCGCGTTGCCGGGGGGGCGACGACGGGGCCCGCGGGGGCCTCCTGCATGTCCGCGTGGATTCGCCCCGGCGGGGTCTTCAGGTGAAGTGGGGGCATCTCGGCTGCAGGTCCTGGAAACAGACGCAACGTCGGGCTTTTTGGATGCTCCGCGGCGGAGCTGTTAAGTCGCTTTTAAAAAGGTCTCGCGGGTTTTTACCAAACGAACACAAAGAGATGAAACCGAAACCGTTACAGCCGATTAACTGTAATCCAACGTGTGTCGTCATTTGTAAAACATCTAAATAGGATTTTGACTTTTTAAGTTTGATTCAACCAACTGAAAACTGCTGGGGATGAAAACAGCCCACAGCTGCTAAAGAGAAACCCAAAAAAAAACGCGGCTGCTGCGGAACAACATAGAAACAGAAAACCAGAAGAACTAACGCGCTAGTTAGCTAGTTAGCTTACCTTACTCCCCCCCAGAGTTCAGTGAGGGCGTTGGGGGGGTGAAGGGGGTGAAGGGGGGGGTCAGCATTCCTCCATGCAACACAAACCATATTTACCGCTTACGTGGCCTTTGCTACTTTTGTGCGCTTCATCCTTTTCCTCCTCATGAGGGTCACCTGAGGCCTCTTCAACCCGGCGATGAGCAGCAGCAACCGGGGCCGCGACTTGGTGAGCCAGCTTCTCAGTAGCGTCCCCTTGGGAAACCTGGGGGGGGGGACGGGGGGACAACAGTCTGTTAAACAAATAATATTCAATATGTATAAAACTACAGCAGAGTCCCCTTCTGAACTTTTGCTCTCATCCGAACATCTTCAGGGCCTCCAGAGCAACAAGAGGAAACCCCTTGTGACCTTTGACCCCCCCACACCCCCGAGGTCGTCTTCACCACGTGGCCGAAGCCTGGCACCAGAGACGCTCCTCAGGGCGGCTACAGGCCTGTTTATTTGTTTTCTTTACGCCGAAGGGCAGCGCGACCTTTGTGTGTTGATACGAGTCGCGACCTGCTGACCGCCACGAAAACAACAACAACAACCCCCCCCCTTTGTGCCGCTGAAACGAGCCAGAGAGAAATCTAGCAAAGCGCCGATGTGGCTCCACTGTGCTGACGCCATTGTTGTGGCCTGCAGGGCCGAGGAGGGGGGGCATTGTTTGTGTAGCTCCCTCCTCCTGATCTTTATCGTCATGTGATCGTCTCCAGGTCTTCTCCTCCATCTTCAGGCTGCTTCGGCTCTGGTCAAACCCTTTCCTTCACCGTCTCACTTTCAGCCTCTTGTTTGCTTTCACTTTCTTTTGTTCTGCAGTTACTTTTCTCTGATAGAAGGGTCGAATGAAGCAGCTTCAAACCCGTTTCCCCCCGTTTGTCCTCTTAGATTCTTCCCCTAAAAGTTCCTCCTCCTTGGTCTCCACAGTCCGAGGAGGTAACTTGCTTCTGGTCCGTTGGGCGAGAGAAGCTCCCTCAACAGACCAGCTGACCATCAGCAGCAAACGTCACAAGCTTCCATCCCAAAATGTAGTAATAGTTTATTTTCACACACACACACACGCACACGCACAGACACGCACAGACACACACAGCAGAGAATAGAGGTACTGCATAAGCTGCGGAAACCGAAGCACTTGCCTGAAATACATCAAGA